TTTCAGTGTACAACTTATATTTTGTAAGTCTAGAAATGTACCGACTGAAACACTTGTAATTTGTCCTTTGAATTAATATAAGTATTTCATCAACATAACTGAAAAAGATCCCCGAAAAGAGTAATAGGGACACATGTCTATGAGTTATAGTATTCTCTTACAGTCACTGACAATCTCTAATCAGTGAACATGCTTTCAGTTTCAGTTTACCTTCTTGTACTTTTTCTTAAACTGGTAACTTAAGAAAACTTATAAAGTAAAAACTGATTCACTAAAAAAGATCCCAAAATAGTTAAAATAGACATGTACGTTATATGTAACTTTTCGTTACGATTATTTATTAAGGCAGTTTTCTTTATGTTACTTTATCATCATCAAATAGGGGATATTGTTGATCATCTCTTTCATTGATTTGATGATAATACCTTTTACCTTTCGAAGTATTATGTTTCTGTTCTTTCTGTTCCAACAATCATCACTGAGTCTGTTCAGTGATTGCTGAAACATGTATTGTAAATCATACAACGACAACGATACTTCAAGAAGACAAAACTCACACCAAAGAACCTTCAGTGAAAGTCGAAGACTGAAACTGAAGATTAGTGACTGGCGCGTTTGTGATCTGAAGTGGTCAGTAATTACAACCTGGTCAACATATGTGTGAAGACTGCCCAAGCATCAGCGAATGTTGAAGAGATCTTCAGTCTTATTATAGCATTCAGCGATCAAATGAAGCTTGTTGTGCAAGATTGTTTTTGTCTTGTCCTTCCACACAAAAAGGACAAACCCATACCTTTTCTAGAGTACAGTAAAGCAAGGAGTCGACTAGTCGACTCTAATGCCCACCAACTCTATGAAAGGATGTCTGCTCATGAATAGACAGTTGTACTATTTACTGTAGCAAAGGACAAGCTTTCCTCCTAAATCTTGATGTATGTTTAAACCCTTCTAAATTCTGATTTGCATTTAATGCAATGGATACATAGATGAGTGTTCTCTCCATGCAGAGAACACACACATATACGCACACATCTAAAAGGAATACTTACGCTTATCTTCAAGCAAGTTAGAATCTCTCTCAAGAATTCTAAAATTCTTACCAAACAAGAACATCTTTCTTTCTTTATCTTTTCAGCAAAACGTTTCTATTTTGCTAAGTATATTTGTGTGTAAACTTAGATTGTTTTAGATAGGTTATCTTTACCTTGTCTATTTCCGCAAACAATCTGCGAAAATCTGTATTGATCTTTCTCTATCAATATATATTTTTAAATATGAAAGTTTTCTGTGTTTGTGTTCATCCCCCCCTTCTACAAACTGTTTGCCCAAAAATCTTGTAGACCCGACTGGGACCAACATAATCTTTATCAAAGTGTTGTCACTTGCGTGGATCTGGCACTCCATTGCTTTGTTATACAAAATTGTGTTTGTATGGATCCGATAACAGTTTTTTTGCCTCTATTAAACCTATGTGATTGCAATGTATTTGTTATTTTGTTTATGGTTGTATTTTGCGCGACCTACGGGTCGTTTCCTTTTTTTTTCTATGTATTTGTATAAAAGTATAGGATAGAATAGTTTTTTTTTAATTATAAATGTAAAAGAAGATCGAGGAAACAAACAATATTCATGAAGACTGAAGTCTTGGTGTGGACCCACTCGGACATTAAGGAAATGGCGATTTTAGTGGGAACCGACACATCAATATATTGGTTTATTTTGTGGTTGTTTATCCCTTAGTAAGACCAAATTTTCTTGTGGTGGCTCATGGGATAAACGCATAGGTTTGAGGCAATTGTTACTGTTAAAACCCAGATCTGACAACAGAGCAATTTAATAAAGAAATTCAAGAGAAATTTGTAGAAGAAGAAGATGAAATAGAAATCGACGGCGCTTTCTTTATTGAATTGGAAATTACAAACTCTCAAGAACCCTAATCGACT